TCCTCAACATCATGAATATTGGTATAACTCGCGAATAAGTTCATAACCACTATGATGATACCAAGGACATGACGATCAATCCTCAATACGACCGAGCGGTCTTCGATGAAGGCAATATGTGATGACGTAATCACTGAGCAATCCCAAAGCGAAGTGTATTCTCAATCTTCTAAGAACAGTAACGAGAGATTTGAATTCTTCAAGACACCATCCTTGTTCTATCATTTCCACGCAAAGAAGTCATGACCGCTCGGCTACTCAATTAAAGTGAAAATGAAACACGTTCACAGCCGGTGAAAGCATTGATTTCATTTACATTCGCGCTTCTTGAGTGCGCGGTGTCGGACGAAACAATTTCAGAAAAACTATAATTTTGCAAAAAAATTGTGTAGTTTGTGGGACAGTAGTCTGTACCCTTGTCATCTCACAGCCAAGTGCTCCCCAAGTGTTGTACACGTACATGAGAAGATCCGTTCCCTCATGGTTTTCCGAATTCAGGAGAGTCTCTCCATCTAAGATCTCTCTTTGTATAAAATGAAGCTGAATTAGCTGCATATCTGAAGGTTCGAAGAAACCACACTGATAGTTCGTAGAAAGCTGATTTCTACGATAGTGACTAGATTGCTAAGAAATCTTTTATTTTCTATTTTCATGTCGAACAAACGTTACCGAGAAGTTCTACTTTACCATGTAGAAAAGCCTCCTCTATTGATGAGTGTTCTAGAATCTTTGAAAACCCATTTCGTTGAAATGAGCCTTCTCGAGCAAACAACTTGATTCAACTGTTGATTATTCGTTTGTTACAGTGTTAGTCATCAAAACATGCTCAATCGATAGATCTTTTAAGTTATAACAGAATGAACAAAATGAAGATCAATAACATCCTTTCCATCTATGGTGGAGCAGGGTTGTCGATTGTGGCTTTCTCCTTCTTCTCACTTCCCCTGCACTGAATACAGGCAGTGTAATAGGTTTCAGAGAAGATGCTTGAGTCTCTCCATCCCTCTTGAAGATTCTCTTATCACTTACACGAGGTAAAGTAGTTCGAAATCTTGGACAGATGTATAGCGAACTCATTATTGGCTTCGTTGAACTGAGTAAATGAAAGATGGAAAAATACCTTATGAATGAGAGAAGTTGATAGATAGGGAAATCAATCGTTGCGAAATGATTTATTCATCAAAGGCTTGATGATCACGTTCTCGTGTAGTCATAAGTTCTTCGCTCAGTGGAACATCTTTGTGCATTATGAATTGTGGTTCCCAAGCTGGCCCTCTATAAGAATTACTATAACACTGATTCACTTTCAACAGCGTAACTCACTTGTAAATGTATGCTCCATGAGCTTGTGAAGCCTTTATCTGATCTCCGAAACCAATCGAACAATCCAGGTATTGAATAACCTATATAAGAACACTCCATGAACATGAAGAAATGATATTATGGAATAACAGTGTCTGTATGAGTGAGGATAGATAGAGAGGTACAAGTAAGATAGAATGAACACAGGAGAAGACATCAGATAGTATACCAGTCAGCTGATGTACGATCTTACTCTAAATATCTATTTGTGATAATTGAAGTTGTTCATGTTACCTTCAGATGGGTCAGGAACTTGAGGATCATTTCATCTTGAAACATCTTCATTGCTTGTGTAATACATTTCGTGTCCTCATCAATTCTTTTCCATATTTGTTTTTTGAGAATTTCAGAACTTCTAGCCTGTTAAGTCATGTCCGCAAGACTGTGTGATAACTAGAGAAACTTTAGTTTTAGGAAAGTAATTTCGTTTTATAAACCAATTGACTTCCAGTGAGACAAGGTATTATCTCGGAGATGTATCAATCAATATTCTTTTGAAAACCAATCGAGATCGCAACATTTCAAAAGTTTTCTTCTTCTCTTAAAAACGTTTTTCCATAAAACAATATGAATTACATACAAACCCTCATTTCAACCAAAGGAACTGTTTTGTGATTTCGATGAAGTTTCGAAGACCACGCAATAGCTTCTACAGCAACAGATAGCTTTCAAATCAATCTATATAATGATTTACTATAGACAATCAGATTTTTCAAAAACTTACATTGACTAGAGAATCATTGTTGGATCTAAGGACCCCAAACAGTTCTTCATCTCCTTTAAGATGACAGTTTGAGCAAATGCCCAAGAAGTCACATTCTTCAACTTGTTTGAAGGATTTGCAAGAATCTGAAGAACAGTTGAGGAAGAACATTAGGATGAATGGAAAACAAACCAATAACAGCCCTTCCATTTGTTTTGCAAAAATCGAGAATATGATATGAGAAAGTAAAAAGGACAAGTAATCAATCGATAACCTGTAAATTTGAAAAACAAGGAGAAAAACAGAAAAATCAAAAGGAAAAGAGGAAGAGAGGATAAACTATATAATCAACAACAACAAAGACGGAATGATGGCGACGATCTAAGTGAAGAAATGATCCCAAGATATCTCACCAGATTAACAAGAAGCTAATGATTAGCCTGCAGTGAGAACTGTCCTTTCAATCGTTCGAGTCGACACCTGCAATCGAGATTGATTGAATACAAGAAAAATGAAAAGACAACGTGTCAAATGGAAAATAATAAACAGAAAACGATGAAAAAGAAGTTTTATTGAGAAGAGTGCTGGGTGACTCGGAGAAAGTTTTCAACAAAAGAA